CCTCCCTTGCTTCCTTCCTTCCTTCCTTCCTTCCCTCCCTTTTCCAGGAGAATATAAGGCAATGGAATAAGCAGTGGATCTTGGCTGCCTCAGTTTCCCTTTGGCCAACCTCATGCCATGCTTCTCCATCTCTTCCTCTTCCTCTTCCCCTCCCCCTCTCCTCCTCTTCCTCTTCTCCCCCTTCCAGCATGGGAAAAAGATACTGCCAAACAGGTGATTTTTATTAACTTCTAGCCCACAAAAAAAAGTTGTGCTACTTTTCCCTTCCATGTATGGTTGAGGAACATTGAAGAAGGTTGGTGAGAAAAGAAAAAAAACTTAAGCCTTTTGGGTATCAAATACCCCAGTTCCATGTTGGTGGGTTTTTGTTTTTTTTAAAGACAAAATTACTTTGACTTTCCAAGAAGAATTTTTAAACACAACTCAGGAAGAAGAAAACAAAGGCTTTGATTTAAGCCAATCTAAGGAAGGCCAAAAAAAGTCTGTTTGGGGGGGAGGAGAGAGGGGGGAGGATGCGTTTGTGAGAATGGTTGCTTTGAGTTTCATCTATTTTCCTTCCAAATTTAATGTTCCCTTCAGATTCCCCTCATTGCAAATTCTTTGGGAGTTTGGATTTAGAGGAACGAATTTACAATCCATGTGAAGAGTGAGGGAAAACATGCGTTGGGCCTCCTTCAACCAGGGGGAAGGGTTAAATCGTATCAATTATGGCATTTCTGGGGAATGTTGGCCATTAAGATGTTTGCTGTAGCTCGTCGCATACTTTCCGCTTGGATTCGGTGAAGTCCCTTCGTCGCATCGTTGCACTGCTGCGTATCTTATTTTCCGAACGGAGGAGAAATCTCTCTTTCCTCCCTTCCCCCCCCCCCGCCACTTTCCCGTGGTATTGTACTTAATAACTTTTGTTTTTCCAGGATTTCAATGGTGGATTAGTCAGGAGTTCTGGATGCCACTCAATTGCAAGCATTAGGCGGGCCAAGAATTCTTCTTCTTCTTCTTCTTTTTTTTTTCTCTCCTCCCTCTCCGCCTGTCAGTTTTGAAAGCAGAAACAAGATCACGTGATTTTTCTCCAGCCAGTCAGCCCTGTGGGTTGCTGGAGCATCAAAAGATGCCCCCCCCCCCCCCCCTACAAACTCCCCCCCCCACCCCAAAAGTTTGAAATAGTGGATTCAAACGAGCCCCTCCTCTTGTTTATAAACGATGCTGAATCAAAAACAAGTATTTTTCTTGATCATCAAGTCGAAGCAAAGACAAGTTAACGGATAGGAGAGGATGTTTGTGGCTCAGGGTTGAACTGTGGGGCCCTTGGTGCTCTTTGAGACGTTTCACGACCCACCTAGGTGGCGTCATCAGTGTTAGAAGGGAGTGGGGTGTATGCGGAGGAGGAGGAGGAGGAGGACTGTAAGGTCCTCGGTGCTCTCTTGAGCTTGGTGGCTTCCTCGCAGATGTTTCATGACCCAACTGCACTGGACCAACAACCACAGACAAGGGAATTTTAATACAGCCTCCAGTCCCCAAAGGTTCCCAGTTGGGACCTAATTAAGAAACCACGCGTTAGGTGAAAAGCTAGGAGAATATTGGTAAAGTAGCAACCTTCCAATATTTGAGGGGCTGTCACAATAAAAGAGGGGGACAAACTATTCTCCAAAGCCCCCGAAGGCAGGACAAGAAGTAACAAATGGAAACCAATCAAGGAGAGATCCAAACCTACAATGAAGTAGACATTTCATGACAGTGAGAATTAATCCGTGGAACTGCCTGCCACCAGAACTTGTGGGAGAGCTCCATCACTGGAGGCAGTCCAGTGGACAGTCACTTGTCTGGAATGGTGGAAGGTCTCCTGCTTGAGAGGGGGTGTTGGAGTATAGTTTTGTCGAAAACCAGAAAGTGTCCATTTTCGGCAGAACCGTTGTACAAAAACGGTCATATGACCATGTTGCTGAGCCTCTTATGTTTGGTCAGGTGACCGGGGTTGGTTTTGGAAGCCAGGAATGATGGTCTGGAGGACACAGAGAGGAAACTCTAGTGTTTATGCGGGGTCAGGAGCTGGGTTTCCACCCTCATAAAACGGCAGGAAATTCGAACTTCCAGTTGAGAGGTTGTTGTGGTTAGGGATTGCCAAAAAGGGGGTTGAGCGGATGAAGGAGGACCACGCTTCCTGTTTTGGATTTGGGGTTTGATACACTTGGGCCTTGAGCATGGATCCAGTGGATCCCTCAACTCCTTTCAACAGGCTTGTCGAAGCTTGCAATTTGTGCGCCTTTTCTGAAGAAACTAAGCGCGCCTGATTTTCTGACTTCTGAAGGCTGCTAGGATCTCATTTGTGATTCCATTTAGGTACAAGAAGGCTTCCAACGATCTGCAGTCTTTAGATTGGTGTTATCTCTCCATCTCCTGATAGTTTGAAGGCCCTCAACATTTTTTTCACTGTCGTGCATTAGCACGACATTCAGTCTCTACACTTTTGCTGATAACTGTCCTTTTACCATGCTTGTGTCCAGTTCTGGCTACCATGATATAAAAAAAGGTGTTGAGACCCTAGAAAAAGTGCAGAGAAGAGAAGCAAAGATGATTAGGGCTCTGGAGCTAAAACATATGTACGATTGAGGGAGCTAGGTATGTCTAGTCTAAAGAAGAGAAGGACTAGGGGTGACATGATATTTGAGGGACTGTCCCAAAGAAGAAGGGGTTACATTCTATTCTCCACAGCACCAGAAGGTAGGACAAGAAGCCATGGATGGAAACTCATCAAGGAGAGCAGTGTTGGACCCAAAGACCTACAAGTTTCCTTCTCTTATTCTGTATTCTATATCTCAACACAGTCAACAAAAGGAAATCTCCCCATGGGTCCAAAAGTTCATTCTTCTGTTGAAGGTCTCTCATTTTCACACTTAGGAATTGGGAATCGGCCAACTTGTCATTGAAGATCGTGTTTCCATGTCCTGAGTGGGTGGAGATCACATTAAACCATCTTCTACTTGTCCCTCTTTAGGCATCTGGAGGGCGTGATCCTATCTCCACCCATGCTCCATTTCCAGGCTTTCCTTCGTCCCAGATGCCCCGCCCTTCTTTGACCCTTTCTCGACTCCTCTCCATCTTTCTCAAAAGATGAAGCTCAGAGCAAGGGCCAAATTTGTGGACTTGGCCAGTGTTTGTGGAGAATAAAGAGAGCAATTACCACAGGAAGATGGCGGTCGTTTTCTTCTTCCTTCGTTTCCAGCCTTGGAAGGTTTTTTAATCATCTCTAAAGTATCGTATAGGGAGGATTCAATCTCGCTCTTGGAAGGATTTGGCTCCGATCGGAGGCTTTTTCCAGGCTCCCATGTAAAATAATATCTATCTAAATCGATTCTGGGCCCCAAGCAGGTGGCAACATCTGGCTGACTTTGGCTTATGTTGGAAAGTTAAAACAAGGCAACAAGGCTAGTACTTGGATGGGAAGAAAGAGGAGGAGGAGAAGGAGGAGGAGGAGGAGGAGGAGGAGATGTTGACCATGGGACTACTGCAGTGGTTGTAAGTGTGAGGACCGTTCTTAAGTTGCTTTTTTTCAGTGCTGTTGTAACTTTGAACAGATGTTCAAGGAATGCTCGTAAGTCGAGGAGATTCTGCAAATCAAATAAGCTTTGCGTTTCATAATTGCTTGTTTGTTTTCTATTCTTGCCTTTACTTCAAGGGCATAATGTCATGCATAGGGTTCCCACCTCCAGTTTGGCCCCAGAAAGTAGTTCAACTCCATTACCAGTACTGTCCTCCCTCCCTCCCTCCCACATCCTTCCTTCCTTGACTTCATCATCCCTTCCTCCCTCTAAGCAATTCTGGTAGTTGTGTCCTCATGAACCTGGCTGTGCACGTGTGCTAAATCGGAGAAAGCTGTCGGGCACAGCCACCCCAGAGACCTGCAGTCTTTTCAGAAAACTTAAAAGCCCCAAAGTCTGAGATCATCAGCAACCCACTCCTGGTTTCTGTAATCTCACCTTTCAAGAGCTCACATGAGGCTGCTGGAGCTTCTCACAACCGCCATGTTCTTACCAAGAAACTCCAGTTCTCCAGGGAGAGCAAAGGAAGGGCTGAGACGAGACAACTTGGTGAGAGGGAGGCTGTGTCTTTTTTTCTTTTTAAATTAAAATCCATCACTTTCAGATCTCTTCCAAGGACACTGAAACATCTCCTACCACCAGCACCTTGACTCATATTTCTACAAAATCTCTATGATTAGAAAATGGAGATGCTTAGTCTAATTTATTTATTTTTTTAAAAAAAAATCAGTGATGTAACTTCAAGTGGTCACTCGGCAATTGGCTGTAATTCAAGAACTACCTGTGATGTTCCTAGTCTATGTTTAAATTTTTCCAGATCTGCCACTTGCCAGATTGTGTTTCTCCACCACACTCGGCAATCACACAAACACACACATCAAACAACCTGCTAAATTATCCCTGAAACTTCCTTGCTCTTTTTGTTTATTTCATGGCGGGCTTCCTAAAACCCGACTCCCAGCGACAAATTTTCCTCCAACGGCTTTTAAGTTAATGTCTTGGGTGAGCCAATTTTTTTCCTTTTTTAAAAAGAAAGAAAAAAAAGACTTTGGCTCAGCTCCCAAGATACCAATCCAGGGCACTTAACCAGGCTCTCCTTCTTGTGGTTTCTCCCAATCTTGGTTTGTATCCTCTCTTCCACTCGATGCCACCTGGTAAATATTATCTCAAGTGGCCGGAAGAAAGAAAGATTTTGGCAGCTCAGCCTGGCCGGTTTGCAAAGCTCACCCCTCTCGTTTGCATTGTGCGCAGCTCCCACCCGTGCGGAAAAAATGTCCCAGCAGCCTCTACTAAGCCCTGAAAAGGGAACCAGGTAGAAGTCTCCAAAAGAAAAGGGAAAACAGACTTGCTGGTGGGGGGGGGGAGGGGGGGAAGGGAAACGACATAATAAAAAGGTGGTTTTGAAGGAGAAATTATGCCTGTGAAGTTGAAATCCTCATTTTAAAGATCAAGGGGAAGAAAAGGAAAAGAGAAAGAAGGAAGTGAAAGAAGAAGAAAAAAATAAAGAGAAAGAAAAGATGAAAGGAAGGCGGGAAAGGAAAGGAGAAAGAAACTAATAAGAAAGAAAGAAAAAGAAAGGAAGGAGGGAAAGAAAAAGAAAGAAAGAAAGAAAGAAAGAAAGCGGATGAGAAAGAAAGAGAGAGAGAAAGGAAAAGGAAAGATGAGAAAGAAAAAGGAAGGAAGGAAGGAAGGAAGGAAGGAAGGAAGGGAAAGAAAAGGAAAGACAAGCAAAGTCAATGCAAAAGACAGATTCACTTAATGACTTTATTACTACCTTGACAGCAGTGATTCATTTAACAACGGTGGCAAAAAGGTCATAAAATAGGGCAAAGCTCACTTCACAGCTGTCTGCCTTAGCAACAGAAATGTTGGGCTCCATTGTGTACGTAAGTTGAGAACTTACCTGTAATGGGAACCTGCATAAATTGAGGCTTTGGGAGCCTTGAGGAATGCTGGAATCTCTTCTAGTTCCTCCATATTAACATTGAAGAGGTTTTTTGGGGGGAACAGATCAAAAAGCTCTTATTCTGCAAACTGTTGGAAACGATTTGCACTTCCCAGTGGTGATTCCTTGTTTGTAAACATGGATCTTGCAAGATGAACAAATGCTTAAGTTCCTGCCTTAGATTCCGAGCAGGCATGAAAGAGTTTCCCCTTTCATTAATTTATGTTTTTAAAAACATTTTCCTCACCTGTTCGGCTCCTTTGACAAGACTTGAAGTGGCTGGTTGTGGATTTTTAAAAAAGGGGGGTGGGGGAGAGAAACACTCAGCACACCAAATAGTGAAATACAAGCTATTGGGGGAGGGGGCTTTGAATGGCTTTGATCTGTAGTGAAGAGAGAGAGAGAAATGAGACAGAAGGAGAGAGAGAAAAACAGAAGGAGAGAGAAAGAGGAGAGAGAGAGAGA